AGGGAGGCACTTTCAATTTTAACAGGGAGGTACTTTCAACAGCATGACTTGAGCTTTACTTTTTATTACACATTATTTACCTAACAGATGTATTACCTTATCAACAGAATGTCAGCTCTGAATGCACACATTACTGATTCCAGACATCAGTAATCGTATCTTCTGAATATAAGGTCTCATCCAGATGAGTGGAATACAGGATTCTTATAAGAACCAACAGCATTGTGTGTGTGTGTGTGAAGCAGCATTTACTCAATACCTCTTGTGAAACTGTCAAGGATTTGGCTAGAGGTCAGGTTGAAATTGATCTAGAGGACTCAGACACTCTGATCAAAACAAGTATATTTACAATTAGCCAATAATCTAACCCAGTGATGGCAAACCTTTTAGAGACCGAGTGCCCAAACTGCAACCCAAAACCTACTTATGTATCATTGGGTGCTGGGTGGGTGTGGCCCATTGGGTGGGCATGGCTGCGGTAACAGCAGACTGGGTGGGACTAAAAAGTTCAATCAATCAATTCCAACTTTGCAAGATCTTTTTTTTCCCCGTGAGAGGTTGAAATTGATTGATTGAACCTTTTTTTTTAATGAGGCCTAAAGCGAAAAGGTTTTATAAAACCCAGCTGAAGGCCTAGGACTGGGGCAACGGTGCACGTGCCCACAGAGAGGGCTCTGCGTGCCACCTGGGGCATGTGTGCCATAGGTTCGCCACCACGAATCTAGCCTTTCAACTTACATCCCCTTGTAAAGAAGCACTAATATCTTTTTCAAACTAATTAGATAATCTAAACCAGGCCTGGAGGAGTCCGATCTGCCACTCAGTTTCTCAACCTTCTGGAGGAAGGCAAGGCTAAAACAAAAACAATTTAGTCCTTTTTTGGGGAAGTTATTATCCTAAAACTCCCAAATATAATAAACAGTTTGAAACTGCTATTTAAATTAGGTTATTTTTCTGTCAAATTTCAGTGGTGTGATTTCAGGATGCTGGGAGAGCTTTCACGAGACCTCGAACTGGTCTTCTAATGTAAGCTTATGAGCATTAAAAACCATGCTGTTTGATACATCTTATTCACATCATAATGGTTCAACAACAGCTGTTAAGTTAACCTACCAAAAAAGGTTCAACAGTATTCTGACAGTATTCTTTATGTGCTTTATCTAAAGCGGAAACTATGTTATAAGATTGCTGTATTCATCAGAATTGTTGCCGTATTAGATAATTGAGTTCAAGGTAATCTATCCTGTTAGTCTCTTGGCAGAACTGGAGAAAACCACATTTTGTTACCTAAAAAAGCTCTGCATTACAAAGATGAAGTGATAATAGACAAGTACTGCTTGTTTGCAGAATTTGATTTAAAATTATTTTAAACTTGTATATGGAGACATTGATTTCAAATCTTCCCATCAGTGCTCCAGCTGGTATCTCAGCAACTTAGCAAGTTGTATCCAGGAGGAAAGGATATTAGAAAAGTTACATCAAATAATCATTTGGGTTATTGAGCAAATGGTTGCCCAAATATGGCTTCCCACACTGCACTGATCCATACTTTATTATGATTATTTGTTGACTCACACTAAGCCACAACCAAAAACCCTCCTGCCATCTTATGGGTGAGTATTGAATTGGACCAAGAGGAATTAAGATTTGGTATGGTTCACTGAGGGCTTCATTATTTTTACTTAGGAATATCACAACTGGGATAGCCTGACTAAGACTGGCTGCTGTTTGGTTCCTCAGCATTCCTCTGAGGCCATACAATAATAAAAAGTTAACAATGCTCTCCTATCAAAGAAAAAGTTATTTGGTGCCATCAAGTGGTCATTTAACATATTTCTATAGGATTGATAATTAATTTATAGGTTAAGCTGAATTCCATCACTGCAAAGCATAGAATGAGAAAAGTCAGGGCAAGTTTCAGAATGTAAAAACTAGTTCTACTTTTGATTTGTAATTTGTGATCTATGTTCCCCAAAAAGATTTTTTTAAAAAAAACAAACAAACAGTACTTACTCAAGAAAAATGCTTTAGTAGAGGTTTGTTCATTAATTAGCTTTTGTTTTTATTGTATAAAATTTATTTTTTTGTATCCTGCATTTGTTCTTTTATAAATAATTCAAGGTAGGAAACATACTTAACATACCTTCCTTCTTCTATTTTCCACACAATAATCATGTAAAATAGGTTGGGTTGAGAGAAAGATTGATTCGCCTGAAGTCAACTTAGGCTGCTTTCATGACTAAGCTGTGATAGAACCAAGAATCTCCTGGTTTGAGATTATTGGAGTTTTCAGAATGATGCAAAACAATTTGTCAAGACTTGAGACCTTTAAAGACTGTAGTTTTTTCAAAGCTGTACACTGATCTTTACACAACGTGATGTGTGGGTGTGAATGTGATTCCACACAACAAAATTTGTCAGATTCTGCTAAAAATGAAACACTATAGATATTACAAGACTTTTTAACTTTTATTTTATTATATAGGTTCTTACATTATTTTGGATCCTAATATATTCACTGTTTTTCTGTTGTATATTTATGTAACAGTTCTACTATATAGTTTAGTATACCTGGCCTTATGGCTGTAATAAACTGATTTGTGTTTTGGTTTTTTTATTTGAGCTGAGGCTGTGGAAGCTAGGATGAAAAGGCCAGTGTTTTCCAAACAAATCTTCTTTCATTAAAAAATGAAACTGCAGATATGACAAACACACACCATGCATTTCTCAGCAACTGAAGATTAAAATAATTAAAAGATCCAATGTAAATGATTTGTATTATCTTGGAAGAAAATAGCCTTAAAATAGTGGTACATGAGATGTTAACCTGCAGGCTTAAGATATACAATGGGATGGATGGACCGAAGTATTTTATGTTCAACTTGTAGTGATGGATAAGGATCCCAAGGTAACTCATCATTTCAAAGTTTGTTCCTCCAGCTTACAAAACTTGCACATTGTTGATAGAAAGCATGATTGTATTTTTTTTCATTTTGTATGCCTTATTTTGAATGTTCTGTTCTGTAGTTTGTTATTAAGTACTGCTAACCCATGATCTATTGGGTCATCATTAAAGTACTAACCCATGACCTATTGCAATGGTGGCGAACCTATGGCACGGGTGCCAGAGGCAGCACTCAGAGCTGGCGCCGTTGCCCCAGTCCTAGGCCTTCAGCTGGGTTTTATAAAACCTTTTCGCTTTAGGGGGAGGGAAGATCTTGCAAAGTTGGAATTGATTGAACTTTTTAGTCCCACCCAGCCTGCCGTTACCACGCCCACCCAATGGGCCACACCCACCCAGCACTAGACGATGCATAAGTGGGTTTGGGGTTGCAGTTTGGGCACTCAGTCTCTAAAAGGTTCGCCATCAATGACCTATTGGGTCATTTCAGAGATATTTCTTTATCTAGAGAAATAGAATGAGCCTGGCTGGGCAAAAAAGCACCTAATCAAACAATGACATAAGATTGATTTGGCATTATCTATTTTTAACAAACCTGTGTTGGCTTCTAGTTATAACTTTCTTTGTTTCTAGATGTTTGCAGATAACTTTTATTATCTTTTCCAGTATCTTCCCAGGTATTGATGTTAGGCCGATTGGTCTGTAGTTTCCTGGGTCTGTTTTTTCCCTTTTTGAAGATGGGAACCACATCAGCTCTTTTCCAATCCTCTGGTAGTTCCCAGGTGCTCCAGGATTTTTGAAAGATATGGTACAGTGGTTCTGAGATGACATCTGCCAGTTCCTTCAGAACTCTGGAGTGTAGTCCGTCAGGTCCTGGTGATTTATGTTCATCGAGCTCAGACAGGTGTTCCCTTACCATTTTTTCTTTATTTTAGCTTTTATTTCTAGTTTGATAGGATTAGGCAGAGATATGAACTGGGTTTGACCCTAGTCATGTCTAAAAGACAGGGAAGAAAAGGATGCAATCTCCATTTTGTTTGTTAAGATTTATTTTCTCCACTACAGGTTTTACTAAGTATGGGTCACTTATCTGTAAAAAAAAAAAAAGTGTTGTATGTGCAGAAGTGTTTTGCATCTAGCCTCAAAATTGTAGATTAGTACAGAACTCAGCAGCCAGCTTAGTTTTTGAGAAAATTCAAGAGTGACTCACATGATTGCCAAATTATTTTTGTGAAATATGAAGTGTTATACTTTTCAAGGTCTATAGGGCTTGAATCCATATTATTTTAGAGACTTTACATTATCCCCCCACCCTCCACAACATAATCTGAAGGTGAAACCTTCTCTGCAGGCCCACCAGCTCTGAAATGCACTCCCTTCAGAGTTGACAGGATTGAGTTTCTGCCAAATTTTTGAATGCTTATAAAATACTCAGTGTAAGCAGACTTTTAATTACTTCAACAATTCTGATTTGTTGCTTGGACTCCGTGGCTGAAATAATAAATTTAATGAACAGAAAAACCAGGCACATTAAAGACAGAGCCATCAGTATTGAGAGAGCTCAATGTGGTGCACCAGCACAAGGTAGATCCAAGTTCAACTCTATCCCCCCTTGCCCCCCACCAGTGGGTGGATATAAAATAAAAGGAAAATTCCAGTCAAGTCTCCTTAAAGCCATCACCTTTAAGTCCATGGCTGAAATTGGTTTAAGTAATGGTTAACTGCACTGGGGTTAAAAATAGAGCTTCCCTCTTGTCCCCAAACCTCAGGTTTTGTCACCCATCACAACAGTAGGGAGTAGGGAGGAAAGGCAATAGGATGATAAGGAGTGACAATGAGAAAACAAATGCCATGGCAGTAGTCCTCTGCTGATTCAGATATAAGTGGACAGCACTTTGGGGGGGGGGGGAAGATCCTCACACCCTTACTCATGAACACCATTTCCATGTAAACATAAAAAATGGCACCAGTTTGTTGCTTTTAGATCAAGAGTGCTCTGTCTTGTGAAATACATGGGCAGCACAATTTTAGAGATCATGTGTCTCCAGTGGCTAAATCTTTGTAATGAATATTAAGAGAATACACATCTTTAAAAATCTTAACATTTGACAAGAAAACCTTTAATGTGTTTTTTCTCTGCTATGACACAACTCATACTTGTAAAATAAGGTGATGTTCATAAAGTACTCCAAAGGGGAAATTACAGGAAATAGGTTTGCTTTATGAACGCAGGAGCATTGCTGAATTAGCGGCGACAATTCTCACTTGAAAATGTATCTGGATTGTTAGTCATTTTAACTAGAGAAACAAGATCAGAATAGTAGAAAGCTGTCTTGTAGGAAACCAAATATGCTTTTAGGTGCAGCTACTTTTTTCCAGGGAAATAAAATTTCTCCAAGGAATGTTGTAAACCTCAAAAGTGCAGGTCATTGTCTGCAAACAGGAGAAAGAAAGAAAAAACATGAAGTATTTCATATCACATTTCATAACTGGCAATCATAATTAACTGGAAATATTATAACAAACTTTTGATAAGGTAAATCTGACCTGACCTCACAGAGCACTTGAAAGTATGGATACTTTAAATCAACTCAATTTCAGTCAATTTGAGAACTGGAACATTAACCTATGTAGGGTTGGCTTCTCCCTCTGCTTTCTACATTTTCATCTTAAACTTGCAGGATTCTCACAATATGACCGTACCCTGATTGCGGCCTATTAAAGATGCACATGCTCTTTTTGACTGTATGTGTATGTTGGATTTTATCAACACATCAAAAATTGTGGATGCGTAGGTGAAGTGGTGGGATTAACTAATTAACTTCATGCAATATTGAAAAGGTGTCAATCTACAGTTGACTCACAGCAGTTGATTACTGAATCATTAACTGTGAATTAAAACTTTTTGCCAAATGGTCAAGAAAAGCAACATGGTCAAATTTGAGCTGTTCTATCCCTGACATATATTTTGAATAACTTTTTTCTCATTTTGAAATTTCATATTAAAAGTGGCATTTTTAATTATTTTTATTTTAAAACAGTAATATTTAAAAAGTATCAAATACCCCCAGCAAATGCTGATGAGCTTTTTATGAAAACCACTCATCCTGGCAGGTTGGTAACTAACTAATAAAAGAAAAAAGTCATTCAGAAATCAATGGAAGCCCCATCCCTTTATTTGCATATTTTCCCAAGTTCTTAGACAAAAGAGATGGGGAAACCATGCTTCAAATACTGTTGTACAATTCCCCTCCCTCCTGTCACAGTAACTAGACTGACGGTTAGAAGCACTAATCCCCATTTCTGTCTTAATGAATAGCTTCTCTCTCTACTATGAGTTGCCTGAAGTTATGTTTTTCAATCTTATGGATTCTATCAATTAGCTATTATTACATTTTATTCAGGACTTAAGAGTAACATTTAGGTTCTTTTCCAGAGTGAAAACACAATAGCAAACAGTGTGTTTTAAAAGTAAAAGAAAGAGCTTCCATCTCCTCCTTTGGGACAGACTGATTCATTGACTATGTGCCATCAAGTCATGGGTGACTCTTGGCAACCATATAGATTTTCTCCAGAATGATTTGTCCTTGTCCTGGGCCTCCAGTGATGCTCTTTTGTTGCTACTGTTAACTGTGTCTATCCACCTTGCTGCTGATCACCCTTTTGTTCTCTTTCCTTCTATTTTCCCTAGCATTAGAACAGTGGTTCTCAACTTTTTAATGCCACGACCCCTAACCGATTGTAAGTCAAGGACTACTCAACCGGTCGTAAGTCGAGGACTACTCAACTGGTGCAGCACCGTTTGCAGACTGGGGCTTTTGGCGGGCTCAGCAGGGCAGAGACAGCCTGGACAATTCCTATTGGCTTGTGAAAGCCAATAGAATTAGACTCTATTCAAGAGAGTCTATTCTATTGGCTTTCAAAAGCCAATAGAATAAAAGGGAGTAGCACAGCTAAGGAAAAGGGGGAAAAATGGCGGACTGTGTTGTTTGGCAACCCCCGTGAAATGGTCGTTTGACCCCAAATGGGGTCCCGACCCACAGGTTGAGAACCACTGCATTAGAGCTTTCCCCAGAGCTAAACCTTTGCACATTGTGTCTAAAATAGGATAATTTTAGCCTGCTCATTTGTGCTGCAAGTGAAAACTCTGGGTTGATTTCTTTGATGATCCATTTTTTTTTGGTTTGTTTATTTCTTGGCTGTCCCATGGTATTTTCAGGAGTCTTCTCCAAGGTTCAAAAATGTCAATAGTTTTCCTATCCTGCTTCAAGTCCAACTTTTCCTTCCATAAAGTGTCAGAGGGACACTGCTTGCAACAGTCTGATCTCTACAGGTACAGCAACCAGAATTGGAACCAGTAGCTTCATCATTGGTTGCAAAGTGGAAGACCATGTGATCATGACTGTGCTTTCTCTTCCCCACTCAAATTCCTTGCCCTTTGGAATGTTCACTCTGGGAATGGGATAATTAACAAGGGAATTATTTACATTTGCATTCATTGGAGAGGAAAGGATAATAAGAGAATATGAAGGCACACAATGATGAATACATATCAAAAGGAATGTGGTGGCACCATAAGCATGCTACCCAAATAGCCTGGTGCATTGCCCATTGTGTACCTGCTGGGGGAGAACAGGCCAGGCACAGGAGATTGCCCACAACAAAAAAGAACCCTCTTGGATCTTTATTTCCCCTTGCAGGGATTACAAGAGACTAAGCAGACACACAATGGGGAATACATTGGACTGATTGTATAGTGCACTCATGGCTCTTCAGGGCTGCAGAACCACCGCATTCCTTTCAATGCATAGTCCTTATTGTGCGCCATCTTACACTCTTGCAATCTCCAATTTCTCCCTTTTGCAGATGAGAGAAAAAAAACCAAGTCAGGCACAGGACCATACAATGCTGACTGTAATGGCAATCACTGCACACTGCAACATCGTAAATTTGGGCATTGGTCGTAAAGTTATTTTTTCAGCACCATCATAACTTTCAACAGTCAATGAATAAGCAATTGCCAAGCAAGGACTATCTGTGTAGACCAGGGGTGTCAAACTGCCAGCCCACGGGCCTGATGCATCATAGCAAAACCGCGCCCACCCCACTGCAGGCAATGGAAAAAAAGTCACGACATGTCACATGATGTTGCGAGTTTGACACCCCTGGTGTAGACATATCATGGCATTTGATATCTTTTCTAAGGCCTTCATGACTGCTCTACCAAGTGCTAATCTGCAGCATATTTCTTGACCGCTTGTACCCCTACTGTTGACGGTTGATCCTAAAAGGCAGAAGCTGTCTACCACTTCAATATCTTCATTGTCAATTGAAAAGAAAAATTCTTAGAGCTGTTTAAATTACATCCTCAAAACCTCCGTTAGTTGCAACTGCCTTACTTTAGTAAAGAGGAAATAATAATGTTGCAGCTATTGTATTGCTGAATAAGATCTTGTGACTATTTAAGGAAGAGGGTTTTTTTTATTTCTTTATTTAGCTATAACCTTCTGAGTAACTAGGCAGCTAATTCAAGCAGTTTTGGCATGGCAACATTTCTCCCTAATAAAAACACTGAATTCTTTGTACACTGAACAGAAAACCTGGATACAGAGATCCACAGTTGCCTTTTTCTGTATACGACTGTGCTGAAAAAGTCTAGTTTGTCTGAGCAATCACTCAGTTATTTACAATCCTCCATAACTGTTTTTGTTAAGATGCGATGGAAGAAGGACACAAGATGACCGTGTGATCTGAAAAACATTGGTCTGGTGCAAAGATTTTCCTTGTGACTCTGGTTAAGTGGGCATTAAAATCTCACTGAAATCTACAATGCAAGTTAATAATGATTAACATTAAGCACCACATACTTTAATGAATTACATAATAGATTAGGGTAAATATGTAGCATAACCTTTGTTTCCCTTATTAACATATTGAAAGCAATCTCATTTCTGCTTTTGAGGATTACCAAACCTGAGCTGCTCCCCCTTTGCCCCCATCTAATGCTCATCAGGATTTCTGCAGGTCAGATACAATATTCCTAGTAAACATCTACCTGGGAGGGAAATCACTTACTGAAGGCATTTTTCTTTAACAGACTACATCAGGGGTGTCAAACTCAATTTCATTGAGGGCCGCATCAACATTGCGGTTGCCCTCGAGGGGCCAGGTGGGTGCGGCCAGGGTGGGTGCGGCTTACTGGGTGGGTGTGGATGGAGCGGGCGTGGCCTACTGGATGGGCATGGCCAGCTTTACATCGTTCGCGTCAAGGGTGCCTGTGGGGGTCTGGGCAGGAGTGGGACAGATCTGAGGGTCTCTGGCAGAAGGGGGTGGGACCAGGGCAAGTGCCAAGGCACGGGCCATTTCTTCATTCCTCACAAAGGGTGACACCTCCCCAGCTTGCACCCAGGGGGTGAGGCCGACGCGGCAGGGGCTGGTTCCTCGCTGTTTCCAGACAGCCTTGTGGAGCTAAGACTGAATGCGTTTCAGCACAGATGACCACCACAAAATTGTACATTGGCTCCTGGCCGGCCTGGGCCAGGGCCAAGGAAGCGGGGGCCGTTCCCTGTTTCCAGGATGGCTTTGCGGGCCACATGAAACCACTTCACGGACCGCATCTGGACCCCGGACCTTGTGTTTCACATGCCTGGACTACATATTAAAAACCTAATACTTTAGACACTTCAGAAGAGTGTCAGGTTTGAGCCCCAATCTCAGATTTGCTGAAGTTAACACAAACTCATCTGTTGGGAAACTCCAAGCCAGGCAAGAAGGAAGGATCAAGCAGGGGGTTAATTTTTAGGCATTGTGCAGCAGCAAGAAACATAGGACTGATCCCCCACCCCCCAAAAATTCCATGAGATTTTATCCGTTTGTTCCCAAGGGGAGGATGAGCAGTCTGGAGAGATTAATGTTAGGCACAGGCAACCATATCCACACTGTGGAAGTTGACTACTTTACAATCTTGTACTCTTTTCCCCAGACTGCTCTCTCTCCCTTGGGAACAAACAGATAAAGTTCCATGGAACTTGGGGGGAGAGGTCAGTCCTGGGTCTCTTGTGGCTACACGACTCAAGGCTAACTCCCTGCTTGATCCTTCCTCCTTGCCTGGTTGGTAGTTTCCCAACATCATCTTATTTATTTCATCCAAATGTTTTTGGGAGTAGTTGTGCAGCTCGTTTCAGTGAAGGTTTGTAACACAAGTTCTTGGGATACCATTCATGCCCAAGCAGAGAACTGAGTAGCTATATAAAGCAATCATCACATTAGATTTTATAGTGATGTTATAGAACCCAGAATCACATTGTGCAGACTATCAAGAGCTTTGTTTTTGGCATTCCCCCATTGTGGAGCAAAGTAGGTTGACTATCAGCAAGGCTGTTGATAGAGGAACAAAACCTAGAGCAGGGGTAGGCAACCTTGGCTCTTTTATGACTCGTGGACTTCAATTCCCAGAATTCCTGAGCCAGCCATGCTGGCTCAGGAATTCTGGGAATTGAAGTCCACAAGTCATAAAAGAGCCAAGGTTGCCTACCCCTGACCTAGTCATACAGAAATGGATTTAACTCTCACCTCAGTGATACATTCAAGTATTGCCTTGCCCACATCTTTTAATTCATCAGAAAATTAACAACAAAGAAGATAGTACTAGACTGGGATACCACTTTTGGTGCTCAGTATTACATAATCTGGACTTCTTTCCAAACCACCAAAAGGGGAAGGGAATGTATGCTACTTTGTTTCTCTTCCTCCAGTTTAACATATTATTTCTCATATATCACCCCACTTCATCTCTAAGATTGAAGGGAGATTAATCATGTCTAATTCTGCTTAGTCCTTAAGACATTGTCCTTTTTTCCGTCACGTACCTGTGCCAGTTTAGGTGCGTTATGAAATGCACAGTTTTCAAGATCAGTTGCTCCTTTACGGCAAACTGTTCGTCCAATCTTAACAGTGAAGTAATACTTAATTCCGCTGACAATCTGCATGGTATAAAAAATTGGAATACGGAACATTATGGCACTACCCAATACATGTTTGAAAATATTTATCATTCTGACTGCCCAAGATTGTAAAGGATATCGAGTGATAGGCCTTACTGCAAGAATGTCAATGAGTACAGCCACTGCCACCTACGGAAACAAATATGAGACAAAGGACCATTTCCTTTCAGATAGAGTGATTGGGGGGGGGTGTCAAAGGACCCACGCCTGGAGAATCTAATTCACCCAAAGGAAGCATCACAATATGGTAGTCTTACTATACTTTTCAGCCTATGGCAAAAAACAAGATGATACCCATCACCTATTCTGTGCTGAATGTGACTGATTGATCACAAGACAGCAGTTGCAGCAAGCTTAGGAACTGGGCAGCTCTGTCCTCATTCTCTACCCCCAATATTTGACATTCAAATCCTCTTTAAAGTAGACCCAGCTCTAACTGGATGTAATTGATGACAGTTTCATCTCTACAAGAGCGAAATACCCTTTAAATATAGTGAACTCCTGTTCTCCAAAGGCATAAATGCAAAACTAACAATGCCAGAGAGTCTTAATGGACCTACAAAAGAGTGAGAGTTTGAAACAGATGAAGTTCTCCCAAAAGCTTCTTTGATGTGGTTGTGCATCTGACAATAGAGATGCCACATTAGAAAGAGTGAACAAAAATAGTTTGGGTGCTGTTTCAACCAAACATAAGCTGATGGCACTGCATTAGATAGCTATTTTGGTAGACTGAATGGCTCAACCCCTGCTGTAAGCAGCAATTCTTTCATTTTCCATGGTAGGCAAGTAAGAAAGAATACTATGATAGTACTGATAGCAAAATGACATAGGAAGCTGGAGCAGGGAGCCAATAAAGAAATGAAGGTGGTGATCATGGAGATAATGTTGATAGAATGAAAGTATTAAGAAAAATAAGTAGGATCTAACTGCATTGTTTGTAGGGGAGGGGTATACATATAAAATTATCTCCTTGCCCACATCTTCCTTTTGATGATACCAGCTAACACATGGCAAACAGGTAGCTGTCTAAGATCAAAATCAGTAGGCCAAGTGACAGAATGTGCTAATTCTGATTAAGAAAGTATATATGAAACACCCACAATGTTCTATCTGAAAATTGGATATATCATACTCCAAAAAGTTAGAAAGGTAAGGGCATTTGTAACTCATACTCCTGTGCAGTTTTTATATCCAGTTTAAATTTTCAAAAGAACTACCAGCTGGATTATACCCAAGGACCACAAACAAAGTTATCTAATCTCTGGGCTGGGAATTGCAAAAGTGATGGAAAAGGGAGGCCCTCTTTGACCTAATTAAAGCAAGGACATTCTAGTCAACAACAGCCCACATTCTCACTGGCTTGCCTGACAGATAGGCAAAAGAATGCTCCCTCCCCCAATTACTGTAGCAAACCTGAGTTTGTCCTCGTTATGTCTGCAATTAACTCTCCATCCACTTCAATATATATCAAGCAGGGATAAACATCTGATCTCTGTTTGGGTTAAATTGCTAAATTGCAGAATGAGTGGGGGGGGGAAGGGGAGGATTACAACCCCACTTAAAAATATGTCCCTTTTTTTTAAAACTGCGTAGAGGCATCAGTGTCTAATTTCACAGCTCTCTGAAGGCCGCACTCGGAAAACCTATCACCGTAAATTAATGTCTTGGAGCCTGCCCGGCTGACAACCCCCGAGTCACGCCTTCGCCTAGGCTATTATTCATTTACCTGCTTTTGGGCCTCGACCACTTCGGACACGCGACTGCTATACATATCGTTGCTGCCTCTGTTGTATTCGTTCATGGCAAATTGAAGGGCCCTAGCCACGCCCGGTTCCTCCGGGGAAGCATTCTCCAGTCCCCCGAGGAGCCTGGTCCCGAGCGCCTCCTTGCAGATACAACTGAGCAAGAGTAGGCTACACACCAAAAAACCCCGCAACAAGGCCATCTTTACTCAGCAAACGGCACCCAGCTCGCAACCGAGATGTCTCCTGCTATTTGCAGCCTGCTGCCTTGCGCTTCTTTTTCATAGAGCCTCCCTAGGAGGCGGAATCTCGTCCCCAGCCAATCGATGCTCCTTCCTCTGGAAGGCACCGCCTCTCAGCTCGGGTTTTGTTTTTGTTTTTCCAAAGTAGGCAGCGGTCAACCTACTTCCTTATAAGAAAAAAATGATTCATCTTGTGATTTTCCCCCAACTTTCTGTTCTCTTAATCATTATTTGCAGTTTTAAAACTGGTTTTTTTCTCTCTCGATAAACTAGGAAACCAAAGATTCAGGCTCCCGAACCTCTAAACCAGGGGTCTGCAACCTTAAACGCAAGAGCCACTTGGACCCGTTTCCCAGAGAAAAGAAAACACTCGGAGCTGCAAAACTTGCGCGCATGCGCAAGGGGGAGATCTTGATTGAACAGCTTAATTAAAAAGAAATAGAGGCTGCCGTCCATGAGTTCTCTCTCTCTCTCTCTCTCTCTCCTTTTTCTTTCTCTCTCCCGTTCCTCTCTCCCTCTTTCCTCTCTCCCTCTCTCCCCCTCTTTCCTTCCCTCTCTCTTTCTCTCTTTCCTCTCCCTCTCTCCCCCTCTTCTTTCTCTTTCCTCTCTCTTCATCCCTCTCTCTCTCTCCTCTCTCTTTCTCTCCCTCTCTTTGTCTCTCCTCTCTCTCTTTCTCTCCCTCTCTCTTTCCTCTCCCTCTCTTTCTTCTCCCTCTCTCTTTCCCCCCTCTCTCTACCTCTCTCTTTCCTCTCCCCCTCTCCCTTTCTCTCTCCCTTTTTCCTCTCTCCCTCTCTTTCCTCTCTCTCTCCCCCTCTCTTTCTCTCCCTCTTTCCTCTCTCTCCCTCTCACTGTTTCCTCTCTCTTCCTCTCTCTTTCCCTCTCTCTTTCCCTCCCTTTCTCTCTCTCTCTTTCCTCTCCCCTTCTTTCTCCCTCTCTTTCTCTCCCTCTTTCTCTCTCTCTTTCCTCTTTCTCTATCTTCTCCCTCTCTCTCTTTCCTCTCTCTCTCTCTCTTTCCTCTTTCTCTTTCTCCTCTCCCCCCCCCCTGTCTGTTTCTGAGGAAGGAGAGACAATATAGCAGGATTAGTCAGTTAAATAGCCACCCAATAACCAGATGGTAAACTCCCTTTTTAGGATCCTGTAATCCCTGTATAGAGATAAACTCCAAACCCAGATGCGTCCAGGTTTACATGCAAACAGTTGCAGTTTTTTTCCCTGCCTGAACCAGATCTCAAAATAACAGAATGATGATGACTATCATGTCTCCAGGCCTCCCAATTCTGCATACTTAAACAATAGAATACAGCAGTATTCACCTTTCTACAACAATCTGTAATTTACAATGAACAACTAGAAGAGCTGTAAATAAGTGAATTATTTATTAATACTGAATTAATTAAAATAACACATTCAGACGAATATGTAAAAGATACCAGTAAAAGAAGCTGACCCCAAAATGCCACCAGATATCACCCCACACCAAGCTTCCACATGCTGGATGTGAGGGTTGCTCCTTACAATTCAGCTCATACTTTTGCAAGCTTAATTCCCAGATAGAGTGAGTAGCAAATTCTGTCGCAAAATTTGGAAAGCTGCTGCCTTCAATGCATATGAAGAGAATTAAATGGATCACAACTCAGATTCAGCATAAAGCAGCTTTTTGTGTTTCTTTGGTTATGTATGAGGCTTTTTCCAGGACTCAGATTCAGAGAAATATGGGGATCAGTCTCATTTTTTCCCCAGTCTTAGTAGTCATCCACAACTATGTGGCATAACCATTGTGACTCAGCTTCCTCACTGTGAATTGGCTCAGTGAGCCATTTCTCCTTATTTTACTTTAATTCTGTATTTTGTTTTATAAAAATAGCTTTGAGGAAGTTCACTGTTCAAGTTCTGTTCTGATGTGGGGTGCTTTTTCTGCAGATGTTTGCACAGAAGGTGCAAAAAACATGGTTTCCTACGCAAATTAACATTAATTAATACATTAACAAATTAAAGTTTTTTAAAAAAAAACTTATTTTGGGGGGGATAAATTGAGTTCAGGCAAGTTCCTATCATGCTATAATGATAAATACAATTTTACCATTAAAGCCCTTTAATATTTTCTCAGTTTTTAAAATTCCATCTATACTTAGACTTTGGCAACAACAAAAGGGCAGTTTGAACACTTTTTGCAATTCCTAGTCTGAAATTCCTAATTTCAAGGAATCAAATATTCAGAATCTTAAAACCTATGGCTCCCATAAGAGTGTCATATTTAATGAAACTTCCTGCAGATGTGTAGAATAATTTGCAGTATCACGGAAAACTCTGATCTTGAAATATTGACTCCTTGCTTTATTTCATAACACTGCATAACAGAATCAAAAATGTAAGATTAATTTGTGTTAAATATTGTGCTTGCAATATTGCTCCTTCCTGAAAAATATACAAAATGAATAAATTGTCTATTCTGCAAAGCAGAAACATGCAAACTTCAATTACTCATTCAGGTAATTTAAGGTACCTGTACATTACACGAGGGCAATTCAGAAATAAACCTCCTTTTGAGCATGTGTGAGAAATAGGTGGGGATAGCAACGTCTGTCCTATGGCACCGTGCACAATTCAGTAGGCAGTGAGGAGTGGAAGGAGAAGGTTGTGTTGCAGTTGACTTCTCCGCTAGGTCAATTGAAAATGAATCCTGCCATAGAAAATCCCTCCAATTGTGAAGTGCGTGTAGTAATACGATTCCTGTGTGTGAAAAAACTTTCAGCACTGCGATTCATTGCAAACTGTGTAATGTTTACGGATCAAACGTGATGAGTGAAGGTGTCCTACATCAATGGTGTTGCATGTTTAAAGATGGATGAACTGACCTGCACAACGAAGCAAAAAGTGGCCGCCCATCTGTAGTCAGCAATTGACTCATGCAGGAAATTGACAAAAAGGTCCATGAAGTCCGCCGGTTCCCGATATTTGCACTTTCTTTACACTTTCCCCAAATTTCTTGGACTGTTTTGTATGAGGTAATGATAGAAAATTTGGGATATTGTGTGATGACCCAGGGTCCCGAACGGAGGCAAAGCAATTAGCTGGTCAGAATAATTGTCTTTGTAAGCACTGCCAACGTTCACCCAACAGCCCCCACATATGCTGGCACAAGTTCAATAAAACAATCAACGGAGTTCAACAGTTCTTTAAAGTAAAACAGATAACAAACGAAGTATGATCTTTTCAATGCCCAGTTTGCCTGTAATCTGCAAACTGCAAAACTCAAGACAGCAAGGAAAACTCAGCAGGAAACAAACTTGATCCAAAATTCAAAGAGTCCAGGTACAAGAGCTCACATCACAAGAGTTCATGTTTGTTCCCGGAAAATGCCACAGCGTCTTCTTAAATACCTACTCTCCAGGTGTGCCTTGTGAAGTGGGGCGTGATGCTCTCCTCCTGAGCAAGTGAGCCTGCCTCCTCCTCTCTGCTCTCCTTGCTCTGGGATCTGGTGGGGAGGGGCCTTGCTCCTCGCCTGAGCTCTGCTTTCCCTATTCCAAACTTGAAGGGCCCTGGCCTGCTTCAGCCTGTTCCTCCCCACAGTCCTCCAAAGCCACAGACACCCTGTCCTGGGCCTCACCAGGGAACTCCATGTCCTCCTCAGAGTCAGGCTCAGACGGAGGCATGACATACTGCAAGTTCTGTGCTCGTTGGATACCACAACTCTTTTTTGAGGAGCACAAAACACACTGGATGAGTTTACGATGCTGTTACAGGGTGGCTTCATTCCCAGGCGGGAGATTTTTTTTTGCAGAAGGAATTTCAAACCTTGTAAGACGTTATGACAAGTGCCTCAATTTGAATGGTGATTGTGTCGAAAAGTAATGTAACGTAGTTTTCCAATGTGCATAATAAAAGTTCTGTATCTGCGAGTGTCTGTCATTGATAACCAAACGGAGGTTTATTTGAGTTGCCCTCGTATAAAACATGGAATACCAAATTCAAACTTTACATCATTGGACAGCAGCTCATACAAACTTGCTAACGATCCAAACCTTATTGCCAGTGAATTTTTAAAGAAAAATTAGAGTTTATTAGATTTTACAATTGTTTATGGAGCTTATGACTACTTTGCTCTTAAGAAAAAAAGCCTTAAAATTTATTAGATCAAGTCATAATCATGAAACAATGTGCAGATTTTTTTCACCCTGCAAATACAGGCTGTTTAACCAACTGCACACTTTGATAAAATATATGAATAAAGTTGCAGCAGAAATGCTCAAAAATTGACAACAGGAATTTAAGGGGGGAAAATAACACCACCACAAAAACATACAGAAGGCCTTGGAAAGGTGTGGACGAGATGTATAACTTTTCTGAGAATGAGGACCATGATCAAAAATGTCCTTTGGTGAAAAATAATTCATAAAGTATAAGCCTCCTATATGTAGACCAAGTCTTCCAATTATTCGAGCAAAGGTAACTTATGATATTTTTGGAAAGAGGATGAATCGGAGTCCTTCTATCTAAATGCAAAGTAACATGTTGCTGAAATGCCAGTACTTGTTATTTTTAAAGGCAGCACTAAATATGTAATTTCATCTTGGAAGAACATCACCATTTCTTCTAGTAGAAAACTCAGCTAGGAATGCTGGGGAAGGCTTCTGGAGTAACCATGCAGTCCGGGAAACAGATTCACCTACTTTAATTTAAAGTCACAATGCACTCACATTTTTGCATGTCCCGAAGCACTTCTTCCCAAATGAATCCAAAATTCTGCAAAAATTGCTCAATATTATCCATTTTATTTCTGTACGTTGGTCTGACTAGTTTCTATAATGTATAAATGCACATATTCAAAAAATGTCTAGTAGAATAAATTTTGTATGGAGATGGTTGGATGGATGGTGAGGGAAAAATATATCAAGGATACAACTAACATAATTAAAGAACATGTATATTCAGTTAAACATGTCACATACAGAGTTTACAGATAATTCTTGACTATTTGTTTAGTGACGGTTTGAAGTTACAACAGCACTGAATAAAGCGACTGGCGATGGTTAG